AAATTTTCCTATAAATTGGGAGTCCCTTATGATGGTTAATCTTAATTATCAACTTGATGGGACTGGGAAATGCCCAAAAGATAAATGAAGCACACCTCTGGGAGTATCTGGGGCCTTTTCCAGAGACAACTGGATCAATGAAGAGAACTGTGAAAGGTAAGGCCCAGTGGAGGAAGTAGGTTACTGGAAGATGTGCCTTTGAAGGGTTTATCTTGGCCTTGGCTCCTTCTTCTTCCTGTTTGCTTCTTAGCTGCCATGAAGTGAGCAGCTCTGCTTCTCCATTCCTTTCTGATATGCCACCTCACCACTGCCCATGAGCAATGGAGTCATCTGACGGAAACCTCTAAAATGGGAAGCCAAAGCAAATCTTTCTCCTTTGTTATAGCACTGAAAAATATCTCTCTTAGTTTTTTTCTTAAAACATTCTTGGTATCTATACTGGGCATGGTGGCACATGCCTTTAATCCCCACACTTGGGAAGCAGAGGCAGGGGATCTCTGTGAGTTCAAGGTCAGCCTGTTCTACATAGTGAGTTTCCAGTCCAGGTGGGGCTACAGGGAGAACTTGTCTCAAAAAGACCAAAAAAAAAAAAAAACCACCACCACCAACAACAAAACATTCCTGATATCTGTATCACAGTCAATCCCTAGGTATTGAAGAGGAACTGGATATGACACCTACCCAGAAATTTAATCCTCCTTTACAATTTTAAAAGAATTTAAGATTTAGGGGGTCTAGAGAGATGGCTCAGTGGTTAAGAGCACTAGATACTCTTGCAGAGGACTGGGGTTCTGAAACTCCAGTTCCAGGGGATCTGACACGCACTTCTGGTCTCCCCAGGCATTGCACAACACTGATGCACTTACCTACAGGCAGAATACTCACACATAAAATAAGTTTTTGAAAGACTTCAAAAAAACTCAAGCTATTTTTAAATACTCAAGAATATTTTTTTGTTTTGTACTTCTTAAAGGCATGCCAGTAACTATTCTGGCACTGCGAAAACACATTTGTTGAGCTAGATGAAATAGAAGCATATAGGCTACCTACAAGGAAGCAGGGAGCAGTCTAAAACTAGTTTTATACACTTTTGGTAAAGAATAGATTTGGAGAAATCACTAGTAATGTTTTGAAAATAGCTAGTTAATCTATAAAATGTTTTCCTAAGCCAGGCATGGTGGTGCATGTCTTAATTTCAGCACTTGGGAGATTGAGGCAGGTGGATCTCTGTGAGATCGAGGCCAGCCTAGTCTACATAGTAAGTTCCAGGCCAGTTGGGGCTACAGGGAGACCCTGTCTTAAAAAAATAAATAAATAAAAATCTATAAAATGTTTTCCTTTAAATTCAAATCATCTGAATTTAACAACTTTTCTTTTTTTTTGAGACAGGGTCTTATCATGTAGCCCCTTGGCTGGTCTGGAACTCACTATGTAGACCAGGCTGGCCTTGAACTCAAATATCCACTTGCCTCTACCACCATGTACTGAGATTAAAGGCATGCTCTAGTAGGCCCAGCTGAATTCAACAACTATTTATTGAATACCTGTTATGAGCTGAGCACTCAGACACACAAGTTAAAAATGATTCTTGCCCTTTTAGGACTTTACTGAGTAATGGATATACCCTCCAAGCTATCTTTCTTTTGTGTGATTTCCTACTCATCAGGCAGCTTCAGAAATACAGTTACTCTCCACAACGATTAACACTCATAGAGTGGCTGGAGCAATGATTCATCACTTACTGCTCTTTCAGAGAACCAGAGGTTAGTTTCTAGCACCCACCAAAGGCAGCTAATAACATTCTGTAATTCCAGTTCCAAGGAATCTGATGCCTCTTCTGGCCTCTGTAGGCACCTGCAAAACTATGGCATCAACTCACATACACTCTGTGTATGAGTGTTTTCCCTGCATGTATGTAAGTGCACCAGTGTTGTGCAATGCTCATAGAGATCAAGAGAGAACAGTAGATCCCTTGGAACTGGAGTTATGGATGGCTGTTAGCAGCCATGTGGGTACTGGGAATCAAACCCAGGTCCTCTACAAAAGCAGCCAGTGCTCTTAACCACTGAGCCACATCTCCAGCCCTAAATTACAATTTTTTCAAAAACACTCATAGAACAATGTATCTATATTCACTGCCACAACCAGTTCTCTGGATATACCAACACATCCCTATTTAATTTAGTAAAATGTTCAAGTATGGATGAAAGTGTTTCATGAGTTACCTTAGGTGAATTCCCCAAATCCGATATATTCTGATTAATTGGCTACATGTAACGTGTGAACCTTCAGAAATAAGAATCAAGCCGGGTGTGGTGGCACACTCCTTTAATCCCAGCACTTGGGAGACAGAGGCAGGCAGATCTCTGTGAGTTCAAGGTCAGCCTGGTCTACATAGTGAGTTCCAGGCCAGCTGGGGCTACAGGGAGACCCTCCCTCAAAAAAACCAAAAAAAAAAAAAAAAAAAAAAAAAAAAAAAAAAGAATTAAATACAGGAATGGGATAATCCATACAAAGTGAGTCTCTATCCTCTGGCAAAATTCTTTTCTTTCATGTTCTTCAAACTTTATTGACCTATTAAACTCATTAAACTGTGAAGAATATGGTAAGATATAGTATATAATATTTCTCCAGCTTTAATATGCATCTGGATCACCCCCAAATATGTTAGAATGAAGACTGATTCAAGTCACTCAAGGCAAGCAGTGAGATCCATTTCTGTTAATCTCCTGGGAATGACCAAGCTGCTACCTTATCATACACAAGGGTGTGTAACCCAGCTAGCATAATGTCTGGCACAAAGACAATTCAACCCAGTTAAGTTACCTCCCATTTGTAGGTCTTATCTTCCTTTACACCTCATTTTTAGAAATATTTTATTATTTTTATTTTATATGTACGAGTGTATTGCCTGTATGTGTGTAAGTACACCCATAAAGTGCAATGCTCTCGAGGTGCGCTAGAACTGGAGTTACAGATGGTTTCAGGGGCTTGAGAGATGGCTCAGTGGTAAGAGCACTAATTATTCTTGCAGAAGATAGGGTTTGGTTCCTAGCACCCACGTGGCTGCTAACAACCATCTGTAACTCCAGTTCCAGGGACTCCAATGTCCTCTTCTGGACTCTGTGGGCACTAGCATACACATAGTGCACATATATGCAAGCACAACACATACACATAAAACAAATATTGAAAACAAAAAAACAGGAGCCACAAATGGTGGCACATGCCTTTAATCCCAGCACTCAGGGAGGCAGAAGAGGGAGAGAAGCAGGTAGATCTCTGTGAGTTCCAGGCCAGCCTAGTCTATATAGAGGGTTCCAGGTCAGACGGGGCTATATAATGAGGCCCTGTCTCAGAAGCAGACCAAAACAAAACAAAACAGAACAAAACAAAAAACAGGCATTAAATATAGCTAACTGAATATATGAAATTAGATTTCCACAATCATTACTTCTACAGTTATAGACAGAATCCTTCCTCTCAACTTATTTTAAATAGAAAGTATTGGGAGGGAGAAGAGGGACAGGTGCAGTGTCACAGGCCTTTAATTCCAGTACTCCAGGGGCAGGGGTAGGGGCAGAGACAGGGGCAAGCAGGTGTCTGTGAGATTGACGCCAGCCAGGGCTATAGGAAAATCCTGTGGAAAAAAAGAAAAGAAAAAGAAAGAATTTTTTGGATATGGAAATCAGGAAGCAGGAAAGCTCTTTTTAAAAAAGGTGTAAGGATTAAAAACAAAATCTGCAGCATCCTCCAGTGCTACCATAAACAAGTATTTTTTTAAACGAGCAGGAATTTATCTCCTAATGATTTTTCCCTTTTGGAGTATATAAGCAAGGATTTATTATAAAAATAAGTCATCAGCTTCCTGGGGAAGTCTATTTAATCTAAAAGATGAAGACATTTTTCTTAGAATGTACCTTCCACTTTTCAAACAGCACCACATAATCTTAATACCTTAGCAAACACAAAATTTGTAATATAATCCCAACTCCTCAAATCAATTTTACCATGTCAAAACTGCAGAGTTCCCGTTATCAATAGGAAGGTCTCTGGCACAGTGTCTTGTGTTTCCCTGATTTTCTGAGATGCTTTGAGATCACCATGACCACGGACTAAACATTTCATGTAAATATTAGTTGTTCCACACCGAGGGGGTAAAAAGGTCGTGTGCTGTGAACACGCCAAAAAAAAAAAAAAAAAAAAAAAAAAAGCAACAAAGGTGGAACATGGCTTTTTTACAATGTTTACCCTTTACTAGCCTAGGGCTTGCTTTATTTTTGTTTATCACACAATTACTATTAAGTCAGTAGATGGTAACCGGATTTTAAGACGTACTGCTGGGCTAGAAACAACTTAGACGCTCTTGCAGCTAGTTCAACCTGAGTCGGGGTTTTCGAGCCTCCATCCACTTAACCTGGGGCCGCTGGCTTCCCTTTCCGTCTTTATTAAAAATTTTTTTTTGGGGGGGGGTGGTTCTTCGTTCAGTGAGGCCCTACACCGCTGGAGCGGCGCGTCTGTTCAAGGTAAGGCCCCGGCCATGACCTCGAGGCCGTCCTCGCGAGGAGGCAAGATGGAGACAGCGAAGGCCCGGGCGGGGCTGGGCGGGGTTTCGGCGCCGCGGGGAAGGATCCGGCCAGAAGTGGCCCCGAGCAGCCCCGGCCAGGCCAGCCTCCCAGAACTCTGAGTTGGGAATGCGCCCGCGGCACCGAGACCTCACGAGACGGTGTGGAGGCTGCGGGAACAAGGACGCCATTATCAGCTTCCCCCACCACCTAGCCCGCGCGGGCCGGGAAGGGGGGTGGGAGGACGGAGGGGCGGGAACGCCGAGGATGGAGAGGGCGGGGCGGGGCCGGGCGCGGTGGGAGACTGGGCCGGGGAGGCCATGGTGGAGGCCACCGCTCCTCAGCTCAATCCCTTCCTGCCTTAAGGCTCAAGATGGAGGCCGGGCGGCGCTCCGCGGGTCGCGGCGGAATGCGACATGGATGAAGCCTTCCTACCTGGGCTTTCCCGCTCCTTTTCCTCCGCCATCTTGGTGTGGAGCTCGTCTCCTGGGAGACGATCATCAGAAACCCTGCGGGTCCTGGCGGAGGAATCCTCTCTGCGGGTAGCCTCCCTCCTGCTTCCGCCCCGGTTGCCCAGCTTTCCCCTCGGAACCGAAGCCCGCGTTCTTTGGGCCCAGGGGAGTCACTTATTAATAAGGTTCCGAAGCCCCCCCCCCCTCCTTCTGTTGTAACTGACTCGCATCGCGCTTCCCCTCTTCTGGTCGGAGGACGTGGCATGCTCCATTATTTATTTATTTACTTTGGTTTTTAATTTACCATTCTAACTGCAGATTCACCTATGCAAACCTGGTCCTTCCAGGGCTCCTGGGTCGCCCCCTCCCTGACAAAGCCACCTCGAAATCTAGAGGACTGGGACGAAAAACAGACATGGGCCGGGTACAAGCAGCAGCCGGACCTCCATGATCACTAAGAGGAGAGGAAACGCTGGGGAGAAACATGTGCAAAAATAGGTGCAAACACTGCGTCGTCAAGGCTGCAATTTCTGATACAAAATAGAGGGTTCTCATAGCAACAAACAAACAAAAAAAAAGTGCCTGCCCAGGCTTAGTGTTAGACACGTTGAAAATGTGGCTTGTGCAATTTAATGTGACCTGTGGCCAGAGTTAAAGTGGGAATTTTGAATCTTGATTTCCTGAAATTTTTTCAACTGTGACATGCTGTTAATGTTTTGGAATACTCAATATACTAGGATAGTTTCCTTTTTGGAAAACAGCTTTACAATACCCAGTGATGTGGCTCAAACAAGTTATCTACTTTTAAACAAATTTTGATGCTATTTCAGTGTATATGTGTACTAATTTAAAGACGTTATAAAAGTCAAACTAAGTGTTGAGGCCTTCATAATACAAGGTATTTGTATTTAGTTTTTTAGTGATACTTTTTATTAATTGTACTATTACAATCTGAGTGAACCCCAGAGCAAACCAACTCTTAATTACAGGTTTTTCTACCATTTGGTGCTATGTTCTTCAGTCTACAAAAAATGAATATAAACCATTGAATGATTACAAGATGGTGCAGATTTGAAGATACTTGTAAATCCAAGTGTGCATAGTAAATTCTTAACATCCCCAAATACAGAAGAGTAATTATTAGCTTCACTTTGTCGTGTGATCCATTTAGTCTCCCTGTAGGTTATGAAGAGCTTTGAAGCAATTGTAGTAATTGACGTGTCCCTATTGCAGGGAACCTTTCCCTCTCCTCGAGGCTCTGTGGTTCTGTCTTCACAGACCTCAGAATGATTTATAGTGGTTTTGTTGGTTGGTTGATTGATTTCTACCAAACTATAACTTCTTGAGGAAAGGGAACTGCTTTATTCATCCACATATGTCCCAGTGTGTAGCACAATTTTTCTGGCTCAACCCACACACATATTGTTTGTTTTGGTATTTTGTAAGAGGAGTTTCTCTAGGTTGCCCAAGCTGGTCTTAAACTCCTGGGCTCAGGTGATCCTACTGTTTCAGCCTCCACAAGTAACTAGAATGCCAGGTGCACAGGCTCACCTCTGATTTGAAATAATACATGTCTTAAAAACTAAGACAAGACTCAGTATTCACGATGACTTTGTTAAGAGGCCCAGATTCAGCAAATTTATTGTAAGACAGGTTTTCCTTTTGCATTATATTTTTGTATCACTAAAAGTATCAATAGTAAATGTTAATAAAATAGAATCCTTATCTAAGCATTTGTACATAAAATTAGTTACTTTTTTTTTAAGTCTTTTTTGGGGCAGGGTCTCCCTGTAGCCCCAGCTAGCCTGGAACTTACTATGTAGACCAGGCTGGCTTGAACTCACAGAGATTTCCCTGCCTCTGCCTCCCAAGTGCTGGGATTAAAGGTATGTGCCACCATGCCTGGCCTTTATTTTTTTATTACTTTTTTTTTTTTGTCTTTTTGAGACGGGGTCTCCCTGTAGCCCCAGCTGCCCTGGAACTCACTATGTAGACCAGGCTGGCCTTGAACTCACAAAGATCCGCCTACCTCTGCCTCCCAAGTGCTGAGATTAAAGGCGTGTGCCACTATGCCCGGCTATTACATTTATGTGTGTCAGTACACATGCCCCAGGTGCATAGGTGGAAGTCAGAGGACTTTATTTTTAAGATTTATGTGTCTAAGTGTTAGGCTTACATGTACGTATGTGCACCATATGCATGCTTGGTGCTCATAGAGGCCAGAAGAGGACATCAGATTCCCTGGAGCTGGAGTTGTAGACGGTTGTAAGCCACCATGTAGATTCTGTGAATTGAACTTGGGTCCTCTACAAGAGCAAGTTCTGATTTTAACCACTGAGCCTTCTCTCCAGCCCCCAGAGGTTATCTTGTGGGAATCACTTCTCTCCTTCCACCATGTGGGATGCAGGGATTGAACTCAGGTAGTCAGGCTTGGCAGCAAGCACCTTTACCTCCTGAGCCATTATGCCATCCCCTAGTTTTTATATAGTTTACTAAACTATTCAATAAAATATTTTAAGTTGTTCTAAATCATATTTATCTGTACTTCTTTGAATTCCTAAAGGACATTTAAAACATACCTTAAGCCAGACATGGTAGCTCATGCCTGTAACCCTGATACTTGAGAGGTAGAGGCAGGAGGATTATGAGTTCAAGGCTTGTCTCAACTCAGTGAATTCAAAGTCAAGATGGGAGCTGGGGGTATAGCTCAGTAGTAAAAGGTGCATGCTTACCATTCAGAAGGCCCTGAGTTCAGTCTGCAACACCAGCAAAAAGAAGGGGGAAAATAGGCCAGCATGGGCTACAGGATACCATTTCAAAACCCTTACGTCAGACTTTGAGATGCTTAACAGGTAAAAGTGCTTCCTACACAAGTCAGACAACTTGAGTTCTCTCCAGATCCCATGTAAAGGAAGAAGGAGAAAATTGACTCTGAAACGTTGTACTTTAACTTCCACATGCATGCCTATGCATGCAAGTGACTGCACTCACATATATCATACATACACACTATTATACAGTAATAGTAATAACTTCTTTAAAAAATCATTAAGCTTTAAATAAATAATAAACAGTTGAGCCAGGTGTAGTAGTTCACACCTATAGTCACAGCCCTTGATGACTGAGATAGGAGGATTGTTCCAAGTTCAAGGCCAGCCTGGTCTACATAGCAAGTTCCAGGCCAGCTGGAACCACAGGGAGACTGTCTGAAAAAGAAAAATAAAATACTGTTTGAGCAATGTGGAGTAGGGGCCCTAGGGGGAATTGGAGGGAGGTAGTGGTGGATGGATATGATTAATATATATTGTATACGAAACTTTAGAGGAATTTTTTTCAAATCTTTTACAAAAGTATTATTTCTAAAAAGTTCCTTAAAATTATTTCTTTAAATCAAATTTGTACATGTTATTTTTTACAGTTGCATTTATAAGATGAAGTTAGATTATAAGTATATTAAATAAAGCAATGTTATAATTGCCAGCACAAAAAAAAATAGATTTAATGCATGTAATCCCTCCTAGATTTGAAGACAGGAGCCAAGTCTTATGCATATCCGCAGTACCTAGCCTCATTGGAGCACATATTTGATACTTAATACAAACTTTTCAATGGCCAATTAGCAATTCAACATAAAAGTATATAATTACTTTGGAAAACTTTCCACAGATGAAATTGATTTCCAACCTGGCGTGATGGTACAGGCCTTTAGTCCCAGCACTCAGGAGGCAGAGACGGGCAGCTCTCTGTGAGTTCAAGGGCAGCCTGATTTACATAGTAAGTTCCAGGCCAGTTGGGGCTACAGGAGACCCTGGTCAAAAAAGACCAAAAAGAAAATGGATTTCCAAGTAAACTCCAGAATTGCCATGCTAATGAGTAGCCATGTGGATTATGCTCATATTTATCACTCAACCTTTTTCTATGAAAACCTGACTACTGATTAAATTGTACTTTTAACTCTTTACTTTTTAAATTTTTATTTTTATTTTATGTGTCTGAGTGTTTTACCTTCATGTGTGTAAGTGCGCCCGTGTTGTACAATGCACACAGAGGCCATAAGAGAGCATCAGATCCCCAGGAACAAGAGTTACAGACAGTTGTTAGTTGCCAGGAACCAAACTGAGATCCTCTGGAAGAGCAGCCAGCACTCAACCACAGAGCCATCTCTCCAGCCCCTTAACTCTTAAAATGTTATTACTTTGACTTGGACAAATGGCAAACCACAATCGATTTGAGGGTTGTATGTGGTTCTTTTTTTTTTTTTTTTTTTTTTCCTTGTATTTTGTTTCTGGAACATAATTTGGGTAACTTCATAATATTTTATGCTACTAAAACACTTATCTTGGTAATTTTTAGAAATTCAAAATCATAAGATTTTTTTTATTCCGCTGATGGACATTATGGCACATTAGTAGAGCGAAGTCAGAGAAGCAAGTGTATAGGTTTACATAGTGGCATTTATTTGATTAGTTGTGTTCTGTGGGATCAGGTGGAGAGAGACAGGCAATAACCTTCTACATGCTTGAATTTACACTGAGTTAAAATCTGTTCAGACAGGCAACAGTACCCTGCCCACAAGAAATACAGAAAATGATTCTTTTTTATGTATGTGGGAGGAGGGTTGCATGGGTGCATGGAGGCGGCAGGGGCTTCATGTACAACTGTGTGTGTGTGGAGGCCAGAGGACAACCTGGAGTGTCAGTCTTCACAGTTGTGCATATTGTTTTTTGAGATGGGATCTCTCAGTGGCCAGGACCTCAACAAGAAGACTAGAGACTCGCTAGCCAGCATACCCCAGGGATCTACCTGCCTCTACCTCCACAGCACCAGGATTACAAGAGCACATCACTATGCCTGGTTTTGTTTTGTTTTGTTTTACTTAGGCTCTAGAGGTCAAATTCAAGTTCTTGTGCTTACAAAGTAAGTTGTAAAGTAAGTAAAGTTGGTAAAACTTTACCAACTGAACTATCTCCCCAGGCCTGTGTCTTCTTTATAAAATTCATTGTGGGGACAGTGAGATGGTTCAGCAGGTAAAGACACTTGCTGCCAAGCCTGACAGCCTTAGTTCAATCCCT